GCCTGCAGCTACAGCAGCACCAGGAGACCACGTTCACAAGCAATCCCCACCCCACGTTTCCAGCAGGGAGAACGCAGGGGAACCACTGACGACAGGTGAAAATAAAACCTCACGAGCCTGGATGCTGAACCTCAGGACTCGGAATGAAGAAGCTTCCCTGCCATCTCATTCTCTCCCGCGAAGACTCAAAAGTCCTTTGTCTTTCTCTTGCCAATGCTCTAAAAACGGACTGTTCTTTGCTGAGGACGCTAGAGCAGCTAGAATTCCAACCCCCCTCCTTGAAAACCACCCATGCCTGGGTCCCTGCCATGTATCAGTGAAAAGCGCATGACAATACAGTTTGCTTTGTTTTCCCCTTGTTAAGCTGTCTTTGGTTACAGGAGTCCCTTCCCAGTAAGAATGTAGGACAGTTGATTTTAAAAATGATTTTTCAGGTGGCTCACACGTGTAATCCCAGAACTTTGGGAGGCTGAGGTGGGCAGATCACTTGAGGCCAGGAACTCGTGGCCAGGCTGGCCAACAGGGTGAAACTCCGTCTCTACTAAAAATACAAAAATTAGCCAGGTGTGCTGATGCACACCTGAAATCCCAGCTATTTGGCTGGCTGAGGCAGGAGAGCCACCTGAATCCAGGAGGCAGATGTTGCAGTGAGCGGAGATCCTGCCATTCATTGCACGCCAGCCTGGGTGACACAGCCAGGCTCTTGTCTCCAAAAAACATTGTTTTTTCCAGTCTGGGCAACATAGCAAGACCCTGTCTCTACAAAGAAATGTAAAACTGGCCAGGCATGGTGGTGTGTGTCTGTAGTCCCAGCTACTGCAAAAGCTGAGGTGGGAGGACTGTTTGAGCCCAGGAGGTGGAGGCTGCAGTGAGCTCTGGTCAAACCCCTGCTCTCCAGTCTGAGCAACAGAGCGAGACCTCCACCTCACAAAATTACTTTTCAGCCTGGCCAACACAGCGAAACCTCATCTCTACTAAATATACAAAAAATAGCCAGACATGGCATTGCATGCCTGTAATCCCAGCTAACCAGGAGGCTGAGGCAGGAGAACTGCTTGAACTGTGAGCCGAGATGGTGCCACTGCACTACAGCCTGGGCAACAGAGATTCCGTCTATAAAAAAACAAAACAGAACTTTTCTTCCTTTGCACCCCTAAAGACACGTAGGTCTTATTTCTTACCATGTCTGTGAATCACAAAGGACACGATTCTTTTCCCCTAAAGTAAGGAGAGTGATCTGAAAACGTTCAGCCCGACTGAAAAGCACCACAAGCTCCATGTAGCTAGTGAGAAGTCCACCTCCCTTGGGGAAAAGACACCTAAGTTAGAAAGCATTCCAGACCGTATCCATGAAATCCTGCCAGGATCTTCCTAAGTGCCCAATTGGTGAAAGTGTCGTATGAGCTGCATTTCTTTCTAAATGACAGCATGTAACCAGCGTAGGGCCTTCCAGAAGAAAAGTGACTTACAAACAAACAAATGTAAAATCACGTTCTTGAATACCTCCAAAGTGTAAAGGCACGTATTTGTCCTCACATGAAAACTGTGTCTCACAGACAGAGAAAGGAGAAAGAGTGAATGCAGGGAGGTTTTTTGTTTGTTTGTTTTTGAGACTGAGTCTCTCCGTGTCGCCCAGGCTGGAGTTCAGGGACACGATCTCGGCTGACTGCAACCTCTGCTTCCCGAGCTCAGGCAAGTCTCGTGACTCAGCCTCCCAAGTAACTGGGATTATAGGCGTGCACCGCCACGCCCGGCTAATTTTTGTCATTTTAGTAGACTCTGGGTTTCCCACGTTGGCCGGGCCGGTCTTGAACTCTTGGCCTCGTGTGATCCCACTGGCCCTGGCCTCCCAAAGTGCTGGGATTACAGGCGTGAGCCACCTCACCCGACCTAAAGCAGGAGGTTAAATACAAAACAATCAACTTTTACCACAGCCAAAAGCTGGCAGAAAATCAAGGCAAACTCGCTGAAGGATAAAACCCACTTCCTCTGCCCAGAAGACAGCAACGTTCCCCTAATAACTTCTGCATACACACCCAGGGGCAGGAGACAGAGCTCCGGAGAGGCTGAGAAAGCGAAGCGCAGGCTTCCTCTGCTGCGGTGAGGGAATCCCGAAGAGACCTGGTATTGTTCCACAGATGTGGGCCCATGTAGGGGTTTGGAATTTTTCAAACTGCCCAGGCCGCTGTGCCTGCTGGGGTCAAAACAGCCTTTTCTGGAAAGCAGGGATGCATCGGGTGTGTTCTACGCTACTGTCAGGGATGGGACACTCCCAACCGCAGAGCCAGCCCTAAATCTGTGCCTAGGCATAACTCCCAAGCCCTCCTCCCGGTTTTCTTCCCTCAACACAATTGGCACTTGGCACCAGATGAGTTCCTTGTGCTGGGGCCTGTCCTGGGCCTCAAAGGATTCTGAGAGGCTTCCCTGAGCAGCCTTTTCCACAGCAGGATGGTGGCAGGTCCCACCCCAGGGTGGCCACCAAAAACTGTCTGCAACCTTGGCAAAGGGTCTCCTGAGGGCCAACGTCACCCTGGGAAGTCCTGCTCTCTACAAAGCTGGTGCCTCCTTGTTTCCTCTGCAGCCTTCCCCCAGCTCCATCCATCCCATCTATGCCCCTGAGTATTTATGAAGACACCAAGGAACACGGGCCTGGTTCCCCGAAACGCTGAGATCAGGCAGGGCTGTCGGCCTCTGTGAGAGACCCTCCCCCTAGGCTCCGTGGGGTTTTGCAGCCCGATGCATACTGCTGCAGGAAAAGTGCGTTCTGAGCATCACCAACTCAAAGTTGAAGTTTCCTGATGAAACAACACGTGTATTAATATGACCGGGACAGGGGGTTTCCATCTCCATCTCTAGTAGGGTGGCACTGGAAAGCGGGGGTGACAAGGGTCCCCCAAGGACACCCAGCAGTGCTGAGGGCCCGGCTTTCCTCTGCGATTGGAAGGACAGACTGGCCCCTGCTATCTGCCTGTCTGCCGCCCTCACCACCCACCCAACCCCTGTGCAGCCACCCTTCCCTGGACGCGAAGTCTCCGCCGTCTCAGGGCTCCTAAGCCCAGTCTGCTTCCAAAACTAGGGAGCTCCAGATGAACACTACTGCGGGATTAAAAAGTGTGCAACGCCTTGTTGTGAGCTCAGAGAAGATAAGGCTTTTGCCCCCTCTCTCCTCCATTGACCTGTAAAGCCGGACCAGCTGGCAATTCTGTCCCCAGGTCTCCAAAACCCAGCCAAGCCCCTCATCAAGCTCCACCACTTGGAACGCCTGAGTTATTTAGTGATGGAACCATAGCGGTCCTTGTCGCCCTGTGTGTCCTGTCCGCCTGTTTGGATGCCTCTCTTCTCCTGGAAACTAAATTCTTCAGACACCAGAACTCTTTGGGATATATTTTCCTGCCCCAAGCACACGGCAGCTGCAAAGGAGGGAATGAATGAATGCATGAAGGACATGCGTTAGCGAGACAAGTGAAAACGCCCTTCTGCAGGTGCCTTGGGAGCAGATGCAGCTGATCAAACCCTGCAGAGCCCTCCCTGCTAAGGAAAAAAGAGAAACAGGAAGCCGCGTTTGGAACCTCCCTGCGGGCTGTACACGCCTCCAAGTTTTACAAAACGGAGCCAGCCACACTGTCAGCTCTACCAAGGGAAAGCGCAATTTCCAGGATACCCGGGACGCGCGGGCCGGGCGCGGTGGCTCAAGCCTGTAATCCCAGCACTTTGGGAGGCCGAGGCGGGTGGATCACGAGGTCAAGAGATCGAGACCATCCTGGTCAACATGGTGAAACCCCGTCTCTACTAAAAATACAAAAATTAGCTGGGCATGGTGGTGCGTGCCTGTAGTCCCAGCTACTCGGGAGGCTGAGGAAGGAGAATTGCCTGAACCCGGGAGGCGGAGGTTGCGGTGAGCCGAGATCGCGCCATTGCACTCCAGCATGGGTAACAAGAGCGAAACTCCGTCTCAAAAAACATACAATAAAATAAAGAGCGTGTAAACCCCTTAGCAGCTCCTCCCTACAAACAGAGACCAGGCCTCTTCACCGCAGCTCCGGGCTGAGCTCGACCCTATGAACACCAGCAGGAAATTTCGCGGCACAAACCGGGCCTCCTCTGCCCTCCCAGAGCTGGGCGTTCCCGCCTCTCATTCCTCAGTTTGTCCAGCCCTGATAAGGCTGGTCAAGTCTACACTGCCTGCAAGCCGCTCTTCTTAAAAGCCTGCCCACAGGAAGGGGCAGAAACGCACCGTCTAGTGGAATTGATAGCACATCACACCCAGCGGGGTCCCCGTTTTCCTTTCGACGCGAGGGAAACAGAAAAACACCAGAAAATAATAACCAGAACGAGGCCCGGTTTAGGGCGCGGGAGGGTGACCGTGGCTCCCCCGTCTCTGGATACTTTTTCTGTTTTCCCAACTCTCCAGCGCTACACATGGACAATCTGGTAACCACGCGTTTCTTTCAGAAATTCCCGGGGCCTGCATCCACACCGGAGTTTTGAACGGTTTCAGGGCTCAAAGTTTGTTTCCAACTGTTCCTTCCCCTCCCCCGCATCCTCCGGGCTCCCACCGATTCCAAATTTAGGCCCGGGACGCAGGGCGTGGCTGCGAGAGGCGAGTCCGGGGCGGCCTCCGCGCGCGGCCTAAAGACGCAAGTCCCAGACCCCGAGGGGAGAGAGCGGGGTGGGGTCAGGGGCTGATGCCAACGGGCAGAGAGATCCGTTAGAAAGTCGCCGGGATTAGGAAGAATGAAATGCCACCTCTCCCAAGGTCACCCCCAAAATTAAGAGTTTGCGCCTCCGACAACAAACGCTGACCTTCTCCCTCTGGAATGCGACTCCCACCCGGCCCCAGGAGAGAACTGGGGAGAAAGTGGGCGCCCCCTCCATGCCTGGGCCCCGCTGGCCACAGCGCGTCCCGCCGCGGTTAGCAATTCCGCACCCGCAAGCGGATCCCCAGGCCCGGCCCGCGCCCCACGAGTCCCCCCCGCACCCGAATCCCGCCGCTGGCTCACCCGGGGCGGCCACCAAAGCGCCGAGCAGGCCGAGGAGCAGCAGCAGCGCCAGCGCGGACCCGCGGGCCATGGTGCGCCCAGTGCGCGCAGGGACGCTCCCGAGTGCAGCGCGCGGGCGGTAGCGGCGGCAGCGAGACTGGCACCCCTGGGCCGTGTAGGGCGGAGCTCGGAAGGACCCGAAGGGGGCGGGTGAGGGGAGCCGCCCCGCAGGCTCAGCCCGGGCCGCGCCCGCCCGGCCCCGCCCCACCCCGGCCTCGGCGCGCTTAGGAGGGGCCGGAACGCCGGGCCGGGGGAGGGGACCGAGAAGGAGGCGGGCGGGGCCGAGGGGAGCACGGGACACCCCGCTCCCTTCCCAGCAAACCGTGGAGTCCACACATCCGCGAGCCAGTCTCCAGGACCCTCAGGGGGCGCCGACCCGGAGCAAAGAGAAATCTAACATTCTCAGGAAAGTGAGGGTCCCCCACCTGTCTGCATCCCCGTAAATTGCACGCCCCAGGGAGGCCCCTAACTATAGTGGCACAAAACTGCCGCGCTTCTTGAAAACCTGTAGCCCCCAAATCCCCTCCCGACTCGCCCCTGCAGCTTATTCTCCGCCCCTTGCACGAGGACTCCCTCGCCCCCTGGTCAGTGGTGGGGGCAAAAGAAGCTCCCAAGTCTCCTGCTCAGCAAAGTGCGGGCCCCTCCCTCCCTACACTCCCTCAATGCACGCTTCTAACTAGAGCAACACAAAACTGCCGCCCTTCTTGAAAACCTGTAACTCCCCCTACTTGCCCCTGCAGCCCCTTCTCCGCCCCTTTCACAAGGACCCCTCACCTACCCCCATCCCAACCCCACACTCGCACCCCCACACCCTTGTCTCTAGTGGCAGCAAAAGAAACTTTGCCCCCAGCTTGGGAAAGTGCGGGTCCCTCCCTGTCTACACCCCCTAAAATGCACGCCTCTAACTGCAGCGAAGCGAAACTACAGCGCTTCTTGGAAACACTTGGCCCTCCACACTCGCCCCTGCAGCCCCTTCTCCGCCCCTAACAGAGACCTTCCCCTGCTCTGCAAAGGACACTCTCCAGGCTCCCCTGCTGGGAAAAGTATGGGGTCCCCTCCCAGCTGCTCGGGAGGATGGGTGGGGTCCCCAAGAGGAGCAAAGAGCAATTCCCTCCCTGCTCAGGAAGGCGTGGGCCCCCGCTGCCTCCACAGGCAACTCCCACCCCATGTACTTTCTGGCGCATCCGAGCTGGGGCGGAACCCAGGAGGGTTGGCGGGGGCGGGGGCGGACACCCCCTTTGCACAAGACCAACAGGATCCTTGGAGGTGCCTCTGCGCTCAGGCAGTTTAACCACCCCCCCAAAAAAAACCCAGGACAAAGTTGGGAGTGAGGACTCCTGGTCATGGGGATTAGTGGGGTACAACAGGGAACTCCATCGGCCGTCTCAGTCTCTGGGGCACCTGGGCCCTAGCCCTGGGCGTTGGCGACTCGCCTTCCAATGGCCTTTGAGTCTGGAGATCCCCAGTCGCGCCGCCGGCCACAGCTGCACTGCAGGCCTCCCCACACTAACAATCTGCTTTCTGTGAACACCTAAGCCTATACAATGCTAGCCATTTTCCTGAGGGGCAGCGGAACAACTTTGCAGACTGAGAAGCATCCCTCCCTTGCATTCCACCCTTCAAACTGCCCGCGAAAGGAGTCCAGCTAGGCCCGGCGCAGTGGCTCAGGCCTGTAATCCCAGCACTTTGGGAGACCAAGGCAGGCGGATCACCTGAGGTCAGGAGTTCGAGACCAGCCTGGCCAACGTGGTGAAACCCCATCTTGCGTGTGGTGGCTTGCACCGGTAGTCCTAGCTACTCAGGAAGTCGAGGCAGGAGAAAAGCTTGAACCGGGGAGGTGGAGGTTGCAGTGAGCAGAGATCAGGCCATTGCACCCAGCCTGGGTGTCAGAGTGAGACTCCATCTCAAAATAAAATATTTGAAAAGATCTATTCTGAGCCAAATAGGAGTGACCACGACCTGTGACACAGCCCTCAGGAGGTCCTGAGAACATGTGCCAAGGTGGTCGGGTCGCAGCTTGGTTTTACACATTTTAGGGAGGCATGGGACAGCAATCGAATACATTTAACATGCATGTTGGTTTATCCAGAAAAGCAGGGCGACTGGAAGCAGCGGGGCTTCTGGCTTGTAGATAGACTGTAGAACTTTCTGATTGACAATTGCTCGCGTTTCTCTGAAGACCTGGGATCAATGGAAAGGAATGAGTGAAGGGAAACGATTGTGGAGACCCAAGTTCTTATTCCAGCAGGCAGCCTTCAGCTGCCAGGCGTCAGAGAGAAGAGGCTGTAAAGCGGTTTCTTTCACCACAGAGGTGTCATGAGGCATGTTCCACCTCACTTCCTATCACCGCCTCAAACGGTCTCTCTGGTTAAACTTTAAAAGCTGTGTGGCTGAGGAGAAAGTCCACTCAGATGGTTTTGAAGGTGGGACTGACGGGGAGGGTGGGCTTAGAATTTTATTATTTGTTTACTTAATTATTGAGGTGGAGTCTTACTCTATCACCCAGGCTGGAGTGTAGGGGCATGATCGCAGCTCACTGCTACCTCCACCTCCCGGGTTCAAGGGATCCTCCTGCCTCACCCTCCTGAGTAGCCAAGACTACAGGTGCCGCCACCAAGCCTGGCAAATTTTTGTATTTTTAGTTGAGATGGGGTTTCATCATGTTGGCCAGTCTGGTCTTGAACTCCTAACCTCAAGTGATCCGTCCATCCCGGCCTCCCGAAAACTTATATTTTTGGTTTACAAAACCCTGTGCCATCTACTGGCCCATTCCTGGCCCGGCACACCTGCTGTGCAGCCAGCTGAGCCTGGGGCTCTGAGCTGTCCCCTGCCTGCCGCCATGCCCACCCCTTCCTAGGCCACCTTTGCCCCTAGGTCAGAAACCTGCACCCCAGGGACCGGCTCAGCTGTGTGAGTGATGCGTGTCTTCAAAACTGACAGTCTGACCTTGCACACCTGCATATAAGGAGGATAAATTTTTTCTTTTTTGTTTTCTTTTCAGCCAGCAAAACCCCAGCGATGTAATTGCACTGTAGAAGCATGAGGAAAAATGCAACCATTCTCCATGGAAGCATCACCTTCAAAGTGTTGCCTCTGCAACACTTCATATGAGCTTCAAAGTTCATGCCTCTGCATGAACTACCCACCCAGGGACCCTTCCCTGACACTTTCTCCCACACCTGTCCCCCAACCCCCATGTGCCACTGACTGTCTCCCAGTCAGCACTTTCTTTTTCCATGGCTGTAGTCCTGGGCTGGGGTCGAGGGAGGGAATGGACCCTAGGTCAAGGCAAGCAGGAGGACCTTGGGGCTCTCTCAGAGAAGCAGGGGGATGCTTCAGCTCGCTAGGGATTTTGGCATCATGAAGCAAGAGAAACCCGGGTCTCCGTGCTGTCTCAAACGCCAAACACCGCCCCCCCACCAAGAGCTTGCTGCTTCTTTCTCCCTAGTCACCTCCAAAAGAAACGCCCTAGCCTGGACCGCCTCCAGCCTCTGATATTTGGATGGCTCTGCAGCAGAAGCCTCTCTCTGACCGTCTGTCCTGTTCCAGCAGAGCCTGAAATCTGGCTGCCTTTCAGGGAGGGCCACAGGTCGCTGTCATCCGCTATAATAAAGACACAACAGAGGCTTCTGAAGGCCAGGCTTTGAGGCTTTGTATTTATGGTCACACAGATAAGCACAGGGACGCGTCTGTTTGTGATTCATTTAGTCAGATGCCTTTGGCCTTCTGTGCTTTCTGTCTTGTTTTTAATGCTACCTTTCCTTGGCTCAAAATGCGAATTTCCGTAATATTCTGCAGACACTCTGCAGCTGGCCCCAAGAGACTCTCACCTGCAGAATGAAAATTAAGTTAAGTGAAAAGGCCTTCTGAATTGTATCCGGAAGAATTAAATTAATTGAAAAGGGCTTCTGAATTCTGAATGTATCCAGACGCCATGAGAAGCATCTCTTGAAGGCCCGAGCCAGGCTAGGCGAGTGATGGGGAGCTCCCTGCGGGGGCAGCCTCCATGTGTTCTGTTTTTTTCACCAGGGGAAGCTCAGGAAATAAAGAAGTTCTGACCATTTCCAAGGGACCCAAGTGGCCACTTTGCGCACTTTTTTTTTAGACGGAGTTTCACTCTTGTTACCCAGGCTGGAGTGCAGTGGCACAATCTTGGCTCACCGCAACCTCCGCCTCCTGGGTTCAGGCAATTCTCCTGCCTCATGCCCAGCTAATTTTTGTATTTTTAGTAGAGACGGGGTTTCACCATGTTGACCAGAATGGTCTCGATCTCTTGACCTCGTGATCCACCCGCCTTGGCCTTCCAAAGTGCTGGGATTATAGATGTGAGCCACTGCACCTGGCCCATTTTTATTTTCGAGACAGTCTTGCTCTGTTGCTGAGGCTGGAGTGTGACAGCAAGATCTCGGCTCACTACAACCTCCACCTCAGCTCAAGCAATTCTCGTGTCTCAGCCTCCTGAGTAGCTGGGATTACAGGCACCTGCCACCACACCCCACTGATTTTTGTATTTATAGTAGAGATGGGGTTTCTCCATGTTGGTCAGGCTGGCCTCAAACTCCTGACCTAGTAATCCACCTGCCTGGGATCGCAAATGTGAGCCACTGCACCCACCCCTTTCTTTCTTTCTGAATAATGATTTTTGAGAAATCGTTTCCGGGTCCCAGGAGGAGGGTCTTCCCTCAGCTTCCTCTTGTTTTTGGTTCAGATTGTCCATATTTCCTGTTGCTGTTCTTCTCAAGATTTGCAGGAGGCGGGTGCGGTTGTGTTCTGGTTCCATCAGCGATGAAATACTAGTTTTCCCTCTGGGTTACCTTTGGTGAGTTTTGACATTACTTTCTTCTGTGCACCTGGAACCCTACTGTTCTCTTCAGTTTGGGGGAGCCAGGGAGACTTTCTGGGGAGTACTGGGGAGACTTCATCTACAACAAAGGCAGACTTGTCTTCAGAAGTCAAAAGAAGAGGTTGGTGTGACGGAAGGGAGGGCGTCTGGAGAACAACAGCTTGCGGTTGGCACCGAGTCTCTGCCCAGGTTGCCGATACCTCCCAAAGACCCCTGGCCAGTGGTCAGCTTCGGACAGGCCGGGACAGCCATCATTTCCTGTCATCATAGATTTCACAGTGCGATCACCTGATCAGACTGCCTAAACCAAATCCCAGGCTCGGGGCCGCTAAAACAGCCGACATTTATCCCATCACGATCCTGGAGGCTGGAGGTCCAAGATCCAGGTGTGGGCAGGGCTGGCTCCTCCTGAGGCCTCTCTCCTGGGCTCACAGATACTGTCTTCTCCCTGTGTCCTCACAGGGTCCTCCCTCTGTGTGTGTCTGTGTCCTCATCTCCTATTCTTATAGGACACCAGTCCTATTAGATCAGGACCCACCCTAGTGACTTCATTTTACCCTGGTCCCCTCTTTAAAGACCCCCATCTCCAAATACAGTCTTATTCTGAGGTCCTGGGAGTTGGAACTGTCACCTGGGAATTTTGAGTTGAGGAACCCCGCAAGACACAGGGGTTAGGTCTGCAGCTGGAGTTATAAGATGTCTACGCGTGCCCGGCAAAGTTTGAATGTGAACACACCCTCCTCTGCAGGTGGGAAGCTGGCCGATGGGCACAGGAGTATTTCATTCATCAAATGCCTCTGCAGATTTCACACTTCCCAGAAAGCACACGATCAGGTTTCCTTTCATTTAAGCAGATTCTTCTTTTTTTTTTTTTTTTTTTTGACAGAGTCTTGCTCTGTCACTCAGGCTGGAGTGCCATGGTACAATCTTGGCTCACTGCAACCTCTGCCTTCCGGGTTCAAGCGATTCTCTTGCCTCTGCCTCCCAAACAGCTGGGATTACAGGCACACACCACCACACCCAGCTAATTTTTGTGTTTTTAGTAGAGACAGCATTTCACAATGTTGGCGAGGGTGGTCTCGAAGTCCTGACCTCAGGTGAACCACCCACCTTGGCCTCCCAAAATGTTGGGATTCCAAGTGTGAGCCACCGCACCCAGCCTATTTAAGCAGATTCTAATATGTCAATTCAAGGATTCCTATTAATGTTTATCCAATAATTGTCTTAATTCGAGTCCTGATAGTACAAGTAACGTAAATTTTCATTTCTCAAAGATAACTTTCCCACCAAAATAATTTCATATTTTAATCTCAAGGCAAGCATACCAAACACCCTCAGTAAATAAAGAGATGCCATGGTTATTATCAAGTTCATCCATTCAACCACGTCAAGCCCAGAGACAGCTCTGAGGCAGGAAGAAAGAATTTCACATGATCTTGAATGGAGAAGGTGAGAAAGAATCCAATAACGTTCAAATATACATATATACACACACACACACAATATTAAATTATATAACTATAATTTATTATATTTAATAAATATATTTATTATATTTAATGTGTTGATATTTACTAAATTAAATATGTTTGTTTGATTTATTAAGTATAACAATATGTTAAATATAATGTTTGTATATATACATATATACGTGTGTGTATATCTGTTTCTATATATACAGGACAAGGAATCTGAGAATGACCATCCACAGGAGATGCATCCTTGGAGCCACTGGCATTCCAGGATATGCTGTCTGTATATTCTAGAAAAACACGCAGATGACAAGGGCACAAAGTGTGGACAGAGATGAAACCCAGCTTCTGCAAACAAGGGCTGCAGGTGGACAGCTCTTCAATAAGGGATTGGGGATCTGACTGCCCGACAACTTCCACACATCAAGAGCATTGTTTGAATAGATACGTAAATAAGAAGAGACAACCTCCCCGCCGTGAAGAATGATCCCAAATAATTGATGAACCACTCGAACCCAGAGGTCCCCAGACCCCTGGCCATGGACCAGTATTTGTCGATGGCCCTAGAGAAAGCAGGGCACACAGCTGGAGGTGAGCAGTGGGCAAGTGAGAGAAGCTTCATCTGTGTTGACACCTGCTCCCCATCACTTGCGTGAATGCCTGAGCTCTGCCTCCTGTCAGATCAGCAGCAGCATTAGATTCTCACAGGAGCACAAACCCTACTGTGAACTGCACATGCCAGGGATCTAGGTTGTGCGCTCCTTATGAGAATCCAAAGTCTGATGATCTGTCCCTGTCTCCCAACACCCCCAGATGAGACTGTCTAGTTGCGGGAAAACAAGCTCAGGGCTCTGATATGGTTTGGATTTTTATCCCCCCTGAATCTCCTGTGCAAATTCTAATCCCTAGTGTCAGAGGACGGGCCTGGTGAGACATGATTGGATCATGGGGATGGTCTTCCCCCTTGCTGTTCTCATGATAGTGAGTTGTCAAGAGATCTGGTTGTTTAAAAGTGTGTATCACCTCCCCCCTTCAGCATCTCTCTCCTACTACAGCCATGTGAGACGTGCCTCCTTATTCTCCACCTTCAGCTGTGATTGTAAGTTTCCTGAGGCCTCCCAGCTTTCTATATGGCCTCTGGAGTCATGTGTCAATTAAATCTCTTTCCTTCATAAATTACCCAGTCTTAGTTCTTTATAGCGGTGTGCAAATGGGCTAATACAGGCTCCCATTGATTCTACATTATGGTGAGTTGTAGAATTATTTCGTTATACATTACAATGCAATCACAATAAAAATAAAGTTTGAATCATCCTGAAACCATCCCTCCCATCCTCGGCTCCATGGAAAAATTTTCTTCCATGAAACCGGTCCCTGGTACCAGAAAGGTTGGGGACTGCTGCTCTAACCATCAAGGAGGGGAACACAGATCCCCACTTCTTCCAAAGTGTACAACCTGGAAACGTTAGGAAAAGAGTAATTTCACCACGGAGGAATCTCACAGACACAATTCAGATAGAATGCGTGGGTGAATGGGTGGGTGAGTGGATGGATGGATGCATGGGTGGGTGAGTGGATGGATGGGTGCATGGGTGGGTGGATGGATGGATGGATGGATGGGTACATGAGTGGGTGAATGTGTGGGAGGATGGATTGAGGGATGGGTGGGTGGATGGAGGAGTGGATTGTGGGTGGATGAATGGATGAATGAATGGGTGGATAGATGGAGGGTTGGATAAATGAGTGGGTGGATGTATGTATGTATGCATGGATGGATGGATGGATGGTTGGATGGATGGATGGATGGATGGATGCAGATGGATGGATGGATGGATGGGTGGGTGCTTGGATTGATAGATGGATGAATACATGGATGGCTGGCTGGATGTTCTTATCTTCCCATTCTCCCAAATTGTGAGCAGCAGATGTTCCCCCGATGTCTGCATTATTCTTAGAGAGACAGATTGAAAACTGTTACCTTTGTAGTATGATATATATATATATATATATGTGTGTGTGTGTGTGACCTTCAGAATGAGTAGCATGAGATCTTTTGTGCAGGTGCGTTCTTCAGGGCACAGCTCACCACAGACTTTCTTCCACATGCCCCCAGCTGCTTGGCTTCTACACAGCCAACTCCGTTTTTTATTCCCAGATTACTACGGTGCTCCATTCTTGGTGATTTCTCAACATGTCCAGTTATTCAACAAAGCTTTTTCATGTTTTTAACATTTTATTTTTGCTTATTTTAATTTTTTTGTAGAGACGAGCTCTCTCTATGTTGCTCAGGCTGGTCTCAAACTTCTGGACTCAGGAGATGCTACCATCTCAGGCTCCCGAGTAGCTGGGACCACAGGAATGTGCCACCATGTCCAGCTTATTTTACAATTTTGGACATGGGTCTCTCTATGTTGCCCAGGCTGGTCTCAAACTCCTGGTTTCAAGTGATCCTCTGACCTCAGCCTCTCTAGTAGCTGGGACCAGAGGGCTGCACCACCATGTTCAGCTTATTTTATAATTTTAGAGATGGGGCCTCACTATGTTGCCCAGGCTGGTCTCAAACCCGTGGCTTCAAGTGATTCTCTAGTCTCAGTCCTCCCCAAATCCTAGGATCATGGGGATATGCCCCCATGCCCGGCTACAGCAAAGCTCTTTGAGCATCTGCTCTGTGAGATATGGCAGTGAAATCAAACAGCCGTGGCTCTGCTTCTGAGAGCAGAAAGTGTTTATTATAATAGCCCTTAATTTATGTGTATTTATTTAGACTTACTCCTGTTTATCTGAGCCTCCTAAGAAGTTG